AGAGAGAGAGAGAGAGAGGAGAGAGAGAGGAGAGAGAGGAGAGGAGAGAGAGAGAAGAGAGAGAGAGAGAGAGAGAGAGAGAGAGAGAGAAGAGAGAGAGAGAGGAGAGAGGAGAGAGAGAAGAGGAGAGAGAGGAGAGAAGAGAGAGAGAGAGAGAGAGAGAGAGAGGAGAGAGAGAGAGAGAGAGAGAGAGAGAGAGAGAGAGAGAGAGAGAGAGAGAGAGAGAGAGAAGAGAGAGAGAGAGGAGAAGGAGAAGAGAGAGAGAGAGAGAGAGAGAGAGAGAGAGAGACGGACTCTTGAATTTTAGAAAGATACTTTCTCATTTTTTTTGCTAATACAATAAAGTAAACAAAAATTATAATTGTACTGAAGGAAATGAAACTCCAGTGGACATCAAAGTGTACCCATTGGGAATGGTTTACAAGCACATTATGTTTCAGCATTCACAAATCTTATTATCAATAATCACAAATGATTGATAATAATATTAGTCAATAATAATAACGCTAATAATAATCAATCATCATCATGATATACACACACATTCATGCAGGAATGCATGCACATAAGCACACACAAAATAAATACTAGAGAGGTAGCACCACTTATATCTTGCCTATTGAGTATTCTGATTTCTAATTATACATGATATTTAATTGTAATATTTTTTTTCAGTTTATCTTCTATGAAAATAGTTTAGTAATGACAATAGTAAAGAAAGAAAGACAAAAAAATGAAATTAAAATAATTGTTAATACTTACAATGAATGAAAGTTATGAGGCAGGGCTTAGCTCACTAGTTACCAACTAGGATTTTCATTGAGATAAAGAGGTCCAACCTGTCTTAAAATTCTTTGCACACATGCCTGCATTTGCACACCCACCCTCTATGGATACATGCATGCATACATGCACGCACGCACACATACACATACACACACGAAGATTCAAAATATTACTACAAGAATTACTCACTGTACCTTACTACATTTCTATTCTCTACTTCCAGTACTAAAATGAAGCTTACAAAACAACAGCAAAACATTGTTTATTGTACTGTAACCAGTTAAGTTTATTTAACAAATATGAAATAATGAAGGAATCATAAAAGACATCTAAAGCATGTTTCAAGGAAAAAATTCAAGAAAGGACATATCACCAAAATGACCTCTGATGAAAAAAAAAGTTCTATAATAGAATTCATTACATTTAGTACAAAGGTTCCTTCACCCATTGGCGCCGGGTGTCACGTACGTACATGCCATGGCTGTTGTGGACCAAATGCCGGGGGCATCATATCAAGCCCATTCCCGCGCTACTGGCTCGTCAGACGGAGGTTGTTTTTCTCCAGTAGTAGCGGCTTCATTTATATGGTAAAGATTTTAGGCAATGGCACCTAAAGTGAAGGTAAACCTTCAAAATTTTAATATTTTCATAAATTTTAGCAAAATAAAAGCTTTTAGGTGCTATATGTCGCTCACAAACTACCGATCGAGCTGGGCACAAACAGGGGAAACTGCCGGTGCACGCCAACAAGCCGGTGCATACATAAACTTGCCAAAATTTTTACCCGTCGCTGATGGGTTAAATGATCAATGCTAACCCATTTGCCAAGTCATATAAAAAAAAATCATCTTTAAACATGAGCAAATTTTATAATAAATACATACATATAAATACAGTTGCCTTTTCATAATTGACAACAAAAATATGTAACTAACTATCAGCAGTAATATATACATATTTACCTCCCTCCAACACAAAATCTTCCATAAATATGTAATAATTTCTCCTTTCACAACTAATACTTTTCCCTCCCCCCTTAAAACATTTCCTACAGACACTGAAGGAAAGTATCCAACCTCCCCTGACAGCATGCCTGGATCTCTTACCTGAGCATTAGGTTGTGGTCCCTGGGGCTGATTCTGTGTCGTAGTGGAGTACATCATGTTGTGTGATGCCACCGGTAAGGTCCCTCCTGCCATAAAGAGAATTTTTTTCAATAAAAGTGTTCTTTCAAAATATGTTAATGAATCCACTACCACTGTATTAGTCAATTAAAAAAAAAAAAAAAAAAAAAAAAAAAAAAAAAAAAAAAAATCTCTACTAACCTCAGCAAATGCTGACATTTAAATGCCCAAAGAAAATACTGTTCTAAAACCCAACATATCTGCAAGTCACTACCTTAACTGTACATAAAATTGTAAAAATCTTTATTGCCAATAAACTAATTTACATGACATTTATTTCCCCCATTACAAAAATTGTGACTGCAGTCCATCTTACCAACAAGCTAAAACTGTGAGAGCTCATACAAGGACCATAATGACAACTACTTACAATGTGACATGCAAGCATACTTCATTTATTACCTATTTTATAACAATATCAGGGAATTAGCCTCATTGCAACAGACAATACTTAAAAATACCAGGCAAAACAAATAAAGTAATTGTTACAGTGTCAATAATCCTTTCAGTGTTGTTCTTTATAGTAATTGTGGCATATATGTCACACCTGTTTTTATTGAAGATGTCAGCATACAGTTTATATAATTATAACTACTTCGATCCGGATGACATGACCACATTATGAAAAAATTTAGGCTGTGGGGTGGTGGATGACATGAAAATGCCATCAAGGGAAAATATGGCTGTCGGCTGGGTGATGCTAACAGCCATCTTGAATGTTTCAGCGGAAGGTGGAAAAGACTCACCACGAGTACACAAATGTTTTGGAGGGTGATTACACTTATTTAGTTTTTAGGAAGAGGCTTTAGCATTATTCCCGTTGATAAACAAGTATGGCATGTAGTATCCATGTGCCATGACTGGATGAGCACAAGCTCCAGGGAAGACACCATTTCCATGATCAGCCTCCTATTCCTGGCTGCTGTGAGCAATAGTACAGGTTGTCTTACAGAAAACTTAATTATGGAAAAAAAAGTTACATAACTATATTTCTTTGTACTACTTCGAAGGATAATATGGAGTCTGTGCAAGCAAATAAAAATGATAAATATGAAAATTGGAAAATGGAAAAAAAAAGTTAAAAACTTTTGCATAATACCAGTGCCAAGGGGAGGCTTAGAGTCTTCTCACCACACACGAATGTTTACATGTGCTCTGCCTACAGCCACGCACCCAACAAAGTGTCTGCTCACATAAGCCTTACGCCCATATTTTGGCCCATATGATTGCCGTAAAGCAACTGGATCCAATGGGTTTAATAAGTTAAATGTATAATGTGCATTTTTAAATATGATCATACTCGGTAACTAATGTCATCACAGAATATGAACTGATAAGAGAGCTGTTACCATGTAGCTGGACTGACATTACGTTAAAGCCTTAACCGCTCCTCTGATCTCTCTTAACACATGTACAAAAAGCCTACTGCATCCTCTGAATTCTATTTGTGAATAAGCTCATCTATGATTTTCCTTAAAATTGATAAAGTGACTGATAAATACCATACCTACATCTGATAATGCAAAACAAAGCCTTTTAATCTTTCAATATAAAAATCAAGGTTAGAGGAGAACAATGGCATGAGGCTTATCTGAACTATCTGACTCAATTATAAATGAGTATCACAGCACAACTTCTAAGTAATACTTACTAGTTGCACATACATCAACATGTATAACCTAATTTTTCATCTTAAGTCTACCGCCTTAAAAAAATAAATAATAATAAAAATATATATATTTATATACCCCCCTCCCCAATAAAACGGAAAAATGTGCAAGACAAATACTACCAAATTAGACTAAGCTATTACTGCACCTCTTCACAGAAAGTTAATTCAGCGTTCTACAATTATGTGCCAAAAGATGATATACTCTAACCCTGAAAATATCAGACATTACAAAACTACCTCTGTGATACCGATCTTATGAGCCTGATGATCGGAATGCTGAATATCAGCTCCATTCCAGGATGTAGTTTATCAGACCATGCTCTTTGGTAACTCCTATTCAAAACTCATCCTAAAGCTAATAGGCAAGTCCATACCACCTGGAATGCAAATTTTGTATCACCCAAGTTCTACACCTACAGGCTATTCCGACTCCAAAACCTGACTTTTGCTATGGTTCATTATCCCTTAGGATCTGGTTGAGTCACAGAAATCTTGGTGTCAAAAACATAAGCAATGAGTTACATATATGGCCAACATCCCAGGCGTGTGGGGAGTAGGCGTGTGGGGTTACGGGGGGTGCGCACAAACACCCATGAACGGTGACAGGCTTCTGTGCCTCCCCTTCACAAATTTATTTTCTGACAACTTTTTTTTTAGCTTTATCCCCCTTTTCCAATATCCATATTTGTCTTTTGATTTACTTTATCAAAATGGTAATACATTATTATCCCTGCACAGACCCCATATCATCTCTCTATGTAGTATATAACTCAGTGCAAGGAAAAAAAATATATATATATGGAATATTTGGTTATTTGTGGCATATATCTCATTTTTTCATAATTTTAAATTTTACGTAATACAACCTGTGCCAATGGTCACAGCAGCTAGGATTACAGTGCGCAGCATGGAAATGGTGTCATCTCTGGAGCCGGTGCTCTTTGAGTCATGGCTTAAGCACGTTACACTCCACATTCATTTATCAATGGGAATAATGCTAAAGCCCTCTACTAAATGCCAAATGAGTCAAATCACACTCTAAGAGGTTTGTGCATTCATGGCAAGTCTTTTCTGTCACCTTAGCTTTTGCTCGTGACAGCAAGTGCGCATCACCTAGACCGTGGCCAATCTGCCTGACTGACGGCAAGTTTGCGTCACCTGGGCCAAGGCCAATTTGCCAAATTGATAGCATGTTCACATCACCCGCCCCTCGACTCAAGTTTTTCCATGACAGAAACATGACGTCAACCGGGTCCAATGGGTTATTCTCATTCTGACTCCCTGATCAACCAAACTTTGTAAAAAAAATATATTGTTTAGTACTCTATAAAAAATAATATGTTCAGTACCCTCTTACTTGATATAAGAAGTGGAAATATGTTTAGTACAAAGCAGATGATGATGATGAATGATAATAATAATAAAAAAAAAAAGGTCAAAAGTGAAAGGTAAGCTAAATGTTAAAGATCTATCAGTATACAAACTAATATTATCCTGTCTTTAGTGTTTAGAACTCATTATAAATATCAAAAATAAAATTTAAATAAAAAGAATGACAACTATATTTCTAACAAAAATCAACCAATTTGTAAAGGTTTCTCAATGTATTCATAACAGGAAAAAAAAAAAAAAAAAAAAAAAAAAAAAACTTAAATGTCCAACTCCCTTAAGCCACTTACAACGGGTGTTACACATATGAGACACACGGAAAAATAAACATTACCAGGTGTCATGCCCGTTCGATGCTAGATCGTAGCTTGCGCTCTGATTTTGTCACCCATGGCGCACAGCGTGCGGGCAGGTTCCGGGACTCACCCGCGTGCCGATTTTGAAACAGCCCAGAAAATATTATTTTCAGCTTGAAAATGTCTCCGAGATTGTTGGTGGGGATATTTGTCTATTGCTTTTAAATCCCAAGTATTTAAATGTTGTGTGTTATTTTGACATTGCTATGCTCTCCAAGAACTGTTATGATTTTTACTTTATAGACAGACACTTCCACAAGTCTGGCATCACTGAACAAGGCTTGCCTGCCTTGGAAAGTGTTTTAAGCAGGGAACGAAACAGGTCTTGGCCTATCAGCAGGAATTCTTGCCAAAGCGCTCCCCTGCTTAAAACGTTTATAATGTCTTTAACCCTATCATGACAGGGCTATTATCACACAACAGTCTAGTCTTTCTGGTAGGGTTTATGCTATGTACAATTGGCCTGTCCGCTAACTCATTGAAGTGAGTCATGACTCACACGTAATCCATAATTAACTCAATGTCAACAGGAAAACGGTGCTTCCCTTTGACAATGCTTGGTTAAATGTTTCTGCACATAGATTGCTCTGCCAATGCTTAGCCACAAAGGAGTCACTTGGTAGATCTTAAGACTTCACTTCCTTGAATAAGCAGGAAAACTTTTTTTTTTTACTATAGCTATCAATATTGACTCTTGTTATTTTTGTTATCAATATTATAATTACTATATTGTTACTGACATTACTAACAGCAGTATCAAATACTAGAAAATATTATCGAAAATCAAGGAAAAGGGTAAACAGGTGTGACAGATAGTTTGTGTAATCGGCTCATTGGTGACAGTACTTGTGGAGCCATCTATATATACAAACAATTACTAAATTCAATGGACAATGGCACGTACATATATGCCATGCCGGGCAGCTTGGGGTTAAGTCATAATGGCAACAGCCATACCCATTATAAAAAATGACAGCATTAGAAAAAACATTCTTCCCAAAAACTCTAGAAATGATGTAATGAGGTTAGGTCACAAGGTCTGCTAATTGACTCCTTGGTGGGTAAACACTTATGGAGCAATATATGTGTATGGACATTTCACAAAACAGTATGACAGTGACCATTTCATTTTCCCTGTGGCATTTGGTTAATACTTTCCTGATGAGTAGACATATACACTGGCTGAACTGCACATGGTAAAGATCCCTGCACATCCCTGACAACACTAGAATTTTCCTAACATTCTTAACAAATATTCTTTGTTGATTATGTGAATGTGAATGGGCTTTTGGTACCTTTGAAGACAAAAGGAAAGTTATACGAAATTCCCAATAGAAATGGAATGCTGTTATATTATTATATGACTTAGTATGCCAAGGAAAATTTTGTTTTAGTAACTTCTCTCCAATCATTCCATACATGTTTTATATAATATAGAAGCCTTCTACAGTAGTTAATATCAAGAAAAATACATCCAGTTCATACACATGGACAGAAAGAACAAGGTATGGTAACAGAAGCAAGATTATCACTGAAATGCATATTATCAAGAGAGTTTGCAGGTAACTGAGATGTGTGCAGCCTCCTGGGCCTCTCTCTCCCTCTGGCCCAGTGGTTTTTGCCAGATGTTGACAATTTATCCAAAATATGACAAAAAACAAAGAGACATTTTTCTAGACATGACCAAATACTCAAGGGGGCTGATTCCTCAACAATATTTGAACATTTTAAGCCAATGTTTGATTATTTTGTTGTTTTTAAACTAGAATTGCATTCCCCTTACACCAAGATATTTTGGTATATAACTGAAAAGTAGATATCCCTGCACTTACACTAAGAATCAGACTTCCTGTACATATATTTGCTGCTAAAGTGCACATCAAAAATTAACCCTAAGCCACCAGACATGGCATGTACGTACATGCCATTGCCCATTGTGTGAGTTGAATTTAGTAATTGTTTTTACATACAGATGGCTCTGCAAGTACTAAGTCTCCAATGAGTCAATTACATGAAGTACATCTCACCTGTTTACCCTTTTCCTTGATTTTCAATATTTTCTAATATTCAATACTGCTGTTAGTAATGTCAGTAACAATATAGTAATTATAATGTTTAAACAAGAATAGCAGTGTCAATATTGATAGCATTAGTAAAAAAAACGAAAATCCTGCTTTTTCAAGGAAAAGTGAGGTCACAAGATCTACTAATTGACTCCTTTGTGGCTAAGCATTGGCAGAACCATCTATGCGCATAAAAACATTTAACCAAGCATTGCCAAAGGGAACATACCATTTCCCAGTCAACACTGGGTTAACTGAATAGACAAGATCATGGAGAATTTTGTAAGGTAAACTTACAACACACCAACTTATTAAGTCCTAAGTGTCCTGCTGAGATAAAAAGTGAGTATGCATCTGTTTTTCACCCCTTTTTTGGGTAGTGCACACATTTTCAAAAATCTATTCACACTGTAAAATCTGCTTAATGATGTTCTTTATTCTTTCTCTTTACTTTAGCTTAACAATAAGAGGAGTCAAATCTTTCCGAGTGACCATATGCATGCATCAAGTTATCATTATCTAGGGAAATTACACAAAACATTTGACTTCATGAATTCAAGTAGAACACTGCATAGGAAAAGGATATGCTTCTATGACTTAAATGAACATTTCAACTGACATCAAAGGCCTCTTTACATGAATGTACACTTTGGCATCTTATTGTAAACGCAAATAGCAATCAAGAGATTTAGTATAAAGCTATAAAACTTTTTGTCTGAACTAAAACTTTTACATCAAATTATAGCTAACAGTACAAGTGGAACATAACTCCACTGCTGGATGCCCTTCAACTATATCACAGTCAATTCTATTACCTGTTTCTGCACTTCATCAGGGAGGGATTCATATGGATTTACACATTTTAGCATTAAACTACTCCACCTCAAGAACATCTCACCTCTTGTATTACAATTTCTACAATCTCGATACATGTTCCTTTTAACCCACTAGCAACGGTACATTTTCAAGCCAAAAATAATATTTTCCAGGTGGCTTCAAAATCGGCATGCAAGTGAGTCTGGGAACCTGCTCGTGCGCTGCACGCCACAGACAACAAAATAAGAGCACAAGCTCCGATCTAGCGTTGCACTGGTGGGACACCCGTCGTAAGTGGGTTATGGCTTTTATATTTACTAACCTGAGCCTTGTTGTATTTGCTGTGTTGAACCTGGCGGGAGTGCTTGTGTATTGAGGTCGTGTGGCGGTCCCGGAGGCTGAGGGCTTGGCCCAGGTGGCACTCCACCAACCTGACCCACTCCTTGGCCCACTCCACCTGTGCCGTGCCCACCTACACCTCCACTCTGAAATACAATGGAGTAAAGAGTTAAAAATCATATTTTGTGAGAGTTACTACAGATGTTCATAAAGATAATCATAAGCTAAGAGTAATAATAATAAAACTGATTTAAAAAAGAAAGTACATAACAGCTTATAAGTCATGAATCAATAATCCCCTTGGTTTTAGGGAATCTCTCTCTAAAAGCGAAAATCAATTACTGATGTAAAAGTTACACCAAATGTTTTTATTTAATCACATTTCCTTGTTAGAATGTGAAAAGGTATGTGATCTAAAACTAAAAAAATTAGCAGTCTCCCATCATCATAGGACTATTTAGAATATCATTAGAACATTCTCATAAAATTCTCTTACATCTAATCCCCGCTATGTTCAACCCATCAGTGCTAGGTAATTGTTATGTCCACTATACTTGTTTTCTGAATTCTGTTTATGCAAAAATGGCTCCACAAGCACTTAGTTCCCAACGACTCAATCAGTAGGCCTACTTAACCACACCAGACATTCCTAACATTCCTTGAATTTTCTCATTCTTTACTGATGCTATTAGTATCATTATTGTTATCATTTTATATTGACATTGTGATGACCATGCCATTATCACGAATAATGACAAAAAGATCCTACAAAAAATATTAAAAGAAAAAGGTAACCCATGAGATTACGACAGGAGAGTAATTGAGTCTTCATGGTGACTAAGCTCAATTCTTCAATTCACAGTGCACAGAGCATATACATTTACAATGGATATAACATCAAATAATGACCTGATATACTTTGGCTATCAAATTTTCCGATTTTTAGTTTTAAAAGTAGATCTATTCTTGGGAAGAGTACGAATGCAAAATATTTTTTACACTTTTCATTTTCCAAAAAAAAGTACATACTCATGAATTTCAGAACCAGATAGTATTTATCTAATTTATAACTAAGCTCCTTTTCCGGTCTCCTGAGTTTTCTAAACTCCTAAGCTCTTTTTATGCCAACACCTCTATCCCCTAAAATTCTGAAATTTGGTAAGTTTTCTAAAAATAGTTATTGCTTTATATACATCAGTAAATGATCTGTCAAGGGCAAAAACTTTATCTTAAAGAAAAAATACTACATCTAAACAAAATATACATATATAAAGTATAACAGATAAACATATCTCATCTAATAAATCAATCAATCTGTATAAAGAAAAAATATAAATTTTCTCTATGTATGTCTGTCTGTCTACATGCCCTTACCCTTGATTCTGACATGTCTAG